GTCGGGGGGGACTCTTGGACACCATAGAGGCCACATCAGCTGAAGCCCAAAACTACTACTCCTTAGGATCAGTGCATCAGCCCGGTCCTCAGCCCTACCCACATTTTAATCTCTCAGGAACTCCGCTTTACAACCTGCACAGGGAGCCAGGCCCCAGGCAGCACAACGTAAGGAACTCACCCCACTCACCCCTGGGTCTGCTTAACAGCCATGACAGGTCGCAACGAGACCGGGAAAGAGACCAAGAAAGAGTCAAAGAGAAAGTCCCCGACAGGGAGAAGGAGCGAGGGAACGAGAAAGACAAGCACTTACTACACGAGAAAGACCAAGAGAGAGACCGAGGACGTGAACGACGACGGTACAGAGAACGGGACAGGGCAGAGGAATCGTCTCCTTGCCACCCTCACCCCTCACCCCCGGACCTGCATCCATCACCTCCTACGCTCCTACCTCACTTCACCAAGGGTTCTCTGATCGAGTTGGCCAACGGGCGGCTGAAGCGCGTGGAGGAGCTGCGGACGGAGGACTTCCTGAGGAGCGCAGACACTTCCTCAGAGTTCCACCTCAGCACCTGCACCGTGCTGCTGATTTCGCCCAACAGCGCCCACGGTTTCAGCCACCTGCAGGTCCACCTCACGGACCGCAACACTCAGGTCAGTGTCCTCCAAGGATTTATTCACGCCCCCCTCCCTCACCTTTGAATCGGTTTTGGAGTCAATGCTAGAATTGACCAGGAGGGGGCAATCTTTACACCCTGGCTCGGGTTAACGCAGACAAAGGGGAAGTTATTAATCACAACGTCATGTACCAGGGTGATACCAGAGGTTGAACCACAGCTGCTCTACTTTCTGCAGGTGTCTGATGAGACTGACTCAAACCAGTTCAAACCAGTTCAGACTGGTCTGTGTGATCTGTGTTTGTCCAGTGTTGAGCTGTGTTACCTTCGATTCAGTCGTATTTCTTTGTTCAAACCTTTGAGGGTTTTATAAAAAATAAAACTTAAAGCTTCTTTTCCTAAAACTGAAGGAACATTTAAATTTTAGACCAGACAAAGAATCAGGTTGTGACCTGGTGTCAAAGGTCATCCTCCAGACTTTTACAGATGGAGACACCACTGAAGAAGACGAGTTTGAGCTGAGACGTGGAGACGAATTTAGAATACTCTCATTAGAACAGTTTGACTCACCGTGGTACTTTTTATGACTTAAAAAGTGACTGAACATTTCAGTCAGGTTAGGTCATTCCATCCACGGTTTCATCTTTAAATGACTAAATGTCTTCATTGTTCAATAGTGATCTCTAGCAAATTTGTCACATTAACACACAGGTTAAAGTCATGATGTAATTATGATGTAATTGTGATGTAATAGTCCCCGTCAGCGACAGCTGCTCTCCTGACTGAGTGTGGTTTCTGTGCAGGAGTTACTGAAGGTCTTGGCGGAGTATCCGTTCTTCGTGCAGGACCAGGGCTGGTCTTCTTGCTGTCCACAGAGAACCACGCAGTTCTACGGTCTGCCCTGCCGCCAGCTCAAGGAGGGTGACGTGTGCCTGGCCCTCACCCCCGCACCTCCGCAGCCTCACCGGACACACACACGTACCAGCTCCCGGGCCCACCGCACACACCTCTACCCCAGGGCCACAGGCGAGACCAGCGGCACGCACCGGGAGGAGATGCCACCTCCGCCTCCTCCTCCCCCTCTTCCTCAACATCCACCCCCGGCGGCCCCCCCCCCCGCACAGACTGTGGCGCCGCAGGAGCAGCCGCGGCGCCGCCAACGTCCGTGG